TATCTCCAAAGGGCGAGCGATCCGAATCCGCCTCCTAGAGAGATCACTCCTTTCCCTCTCTCTCTCGGCGACCTCCTTCTGCAGCATCACTTGCTTGCAGAAAGAGGCCGCGGCTTCCCAGGACCTCTCGCTCGCCAACATGGCCTTTACTAAGGCTGGCGGCGAGAGGTCCTGGCCGACCTCATCTACCAGGACTTCGGCGCTCCACAACTCACGCGGTACACTCCGCGAGGGTGTGTTGCACCGAGTCCCGGAGGCCCTCCTCGCAGTGGTGGCATCATCCGTCTGCCGCCTTTTTGCCGATCCGGTTCAGGTACTCCCTGAAACAACCGTGTCCGGAGAGCACCCGGGACACGCGATACGTGAGCCGCCCTCTGCCACGGTTCACCCAATCGTCGAAACTCAGGTGAACCGCACCCACGGCGCGCTGACCAGTCCTGCCCCGTATGTGTGTTTTTTCCACCTGGCCAGCGCTAAATTCGTTGACTTGAATTTTCGTTTCAAAACACATTAGGTGTAGAAATAAATTCTTTCCGGCTAGATTCACCTAACCATTCGAGTACTGTTACTCCTTTTCCACTTATAGCACATTTGTTTAAGTAATCTGCATAGTGTATCTCTTTTCCACGGAAAGTCTATTTCTTCACGTACGGCCGGTAATAGTTTCGAAACTGTCGGTACGATTTTCTTCCGTGGGAGATAGAACGGGCTTGAAAATGAATTCAGACTGGCTTTTATAAGACAATTTATTCAGAAACACGCTGTTGTCTGTATAACGTACGAGACGCGACTGCCGCGAGAAAACGCTCTCGTCGCCTCGTGCACGCTTCTTGCCCCTGTGCCGTCCCGCTAGTCATCTTCTCAGCGACGAACAGTACATCAATATGGATGAAACTGTGCTAATTTATTGTCAAAAGTTGTTTTCATTGGTGGCTTGTGCTACTTCCCTTGAGGAAAATTTGGTAGCTACAACCTTGATGGTGGGCGGCACCATCGAGAGACTTTGATTGGCACTTGAACCTCTCGTTTGAGAGATCAGGGTCACAAATTGTGGCCAGAACTTGATCGACGCTCTACAGGGAAAGGTTCTGGCTTCTGTTAACTAGAGCCAACCGGCGCGTAATTTATTCCGGTTTAGAACGAAAGCAACAAGTACATCCATGTAAATATACATACATCGAATAACTTTTCACATGTATAAATAATATTTCGTATGTTTTGCATACATTTTTTCTGCAGCAACTTACATTGCTGCGGAAGAATTTCTCTAACAGTAAGGCTAGAGTTCAATTAAGCGAATGAAATGTATTTTCTTATGCTAAATAATTTTCATATGTACAATATACCGATCGCTCTTCATATTTAATATGACTTGAACTTACAACGCTTACGTTTGTCGCGTCACTCCCGTGTCAGCCATTACCGCCTTCCTGATTTCTTCTGTTTCTATACACGCGTGTTGTTATTTCCACTCTGAATATTCTCGTTGCAACACTCGCTATCGTCATCGTCGTTCTGAAAAATTTCTCACATAGTAGACTACAATATCTTAAAGTCTACAGACTTCGATTCAACTTTTAATCTATTAACTAAAAGTTTCTGGTTATTGACCTCTCTTTTGCCGACATTGTGCGTCAGAGTACAGTGAGAGTTTCATGAAAAGTTAGTACACGTCGCAAAAGCTTCCATAAAATGTTCGACCTTGTTCTCTATGTTGTTTCCAAATGAAAGCTGTCGTGGTAAATCATAGCACGAATGAGGCCACACACACGCTTGTTCCCCTTTTTCTGACATTTTACTCGTGTTCTACCTTCAAAGGCATAGTAGATTCCGAAAAAGTTTGGAAATAGTTCGGGCAACCTGAATAGTTCACCTGCACGGTTTCAGCGTTGAATTGCAGGCGATCCAACGAAAGTCTTCTGAAAACCCTAAAATTTTTACGAACTTGCTTGGTACAACGCAAAGGAGTGTGAGTGATAACAGTTTCCCTTAAATTTTACCTCCAACAACGCTTTCCGTTACATTCTCTTTTCCCATGTCGATTTTCGCAGAAACTCGATTGGAAAGGGTCTAGCCGTATAAGCATGGTAAAATTGCCCCCAAACCCCAAATTGATCTTGGTGCATATCATTCGATAGACCACTTGAAAAAAAACCATCCCTATTACTAAGGTAGTTACAGGGCGAAACGCAATTTACAGTTTAAGCTCCATTTCTCTTGTTCTACTCGATGAAAACTTATGAAAAAAATCATGGATGTGCTACCCAATGGCGTACATGTCTGAATTTTTTCAGAATTGTTCACTGCAAAATCGATTTTTAAAAAATTCGGAAAGTTTATAAACGTTGTTTCTATATTGAAATTATCGAATGACCACGTTTATATTTTTGCGGTATTGGTGTCTTGTTATGGACATTAATATGTAATTTTTTCAGATTTTTCGAAGTGGGGAGCCACACTTAGAAAAATGAAAAACCGATCTTTGTTTATATTATTATTTTAGTTTTTCGCGTGACCATGTTTATATTTCTACAGTTTTAGCAGCTTGTTATGGTCATTAATGTATAATTTTTTCAGATTTTTTTGAGAAGTGTATCATACTTAAAAAAATTACAAACCGATATCTCCTAACCTTTCGAACGCAAAGGAGTGGCATACTCGTATAATCGACATATTTTATTCATTAACAAATGGATCTTAAACTGTAAATTGCATTTCGCCCTGTAACTACCCTAGTAATAGGGGTAGCAGCTTGATACTTGGCAGAAAGTGTTTTCTTCGAGTGGTCTATCGAATGATACGCACCAAGATCAATTTGGTTTGGGGGCACTTTTACCATGCTTATTCGGCTAGACCCTTTAAAACCTTATGCAATCATTATTAGCAAGACGGTAAAGGATATATGTATAACGCAAATATTTTCTATGATGTATCATTCTTATTGAAAATAAACATGCATTGCGAAAAACGTTATCCCTTAGATAAATAAGGGACGGGAGGGATTAACACTTGATAAGTGTTAATCGAAGTTTTATTTTTTATTACAGGTTCTGCGAGGAGATCTAACGAATGGTGCGATGATTCGAAGAAGAATAGTGCCTTCTGTGTTAAGAGTGTGCATAGGTAAGCATATATCACACGCCTCTATCTACCGATCCATTCATTTGCATAATTCACTGCCGCTGAACACATGTAAATTCGCGGAAGAGTTAGAAGACCAAGCTAACTGATCGTTTCGATGTTGAAACGAACTAAACTGATCGTTTCTTTTCCCGTACTATACGACAAATTTATTTCTTTATTTGCAACAAATATACAAAAATTTAAGCAACTTTTAAGAGACTAAACGATTAAACGTATCTCTGATTTGTCCTTTTTACTTTGCATTATTTGTCCTGCGCTACCAGACTTTTTATCCTTCGGTAATTTTGCACCAATGCAAGACTAATATAAATTTTGTTCCATGAACTTGACTGATACCATTTGGATTGCAACCGAAGACGCTTACTATTCGCTTTTCATGTACACTTGTAATTCACCTTCTCTATCTGTCAAACAGTTCGTTCTTGGCTACGTAGCATCTAAGTACGTTGTCTTTGGATGGCTTCTTCACTTACTTCTCCGATGACTCCTGAATCTTGATTAAAATTTCGCTTTATCTTCGAGTTTTTGGCAAAGCATGTCTCGACATTTTTTTTCTTTACTTCACATCAAACTACAGTAATGTCTCTACAAGTGTCAGTCAGTTTGGATTCTACAAGTGTCCTGCGCCTAGGCTGCGTCATTGCTGCGCCTATGTTATCTCAAGCGTGTAACGTTACACCATTCGGTTTCCTTTACGAAATTTCACGGCTGGACAATTCATAATAGAAAAATATAATTTTTTTAATTTTACTTTTTTTCATCTGAAATTTTTTTTAACATGGTGAGATTTTTCTGATGAAAATGATATCAAACACGACATAATTTGAACAACATTTACTTAGTAACTAGGCTTTAAAAAGTTTTTACAAATTTTCACAGTGTGTTTAGGATCGTTATTCTGTATAAATATAAAGTTTCGTCACATTAATTTTTTTCCAGACGGCACTGCATGATCGCGACGAATGTTCAAATATTGTTTCTTCCTCGATATGTTTTGAATTTTTACGAAATCACCAGGCAGATTTGTCCCGAAACAACCCCAACTCGGCGTTTTGTGCCAGAAATTTCAAATTTTGACTCGTCATTCCACAGCACTTTTTCCCAATCGTTCGCACTCCAATCTTTATGTATTTTTGCCCACTGAATCCTTAAGTGCGGTTTTTTAACAGCAGTGCACCCGCGAAGCTCAACTAGTAAAGACGCCGTTTGACTGCCGTCGAGTAAGTGTCCGGTGACTTATGGACGGTAGTGTATGTTTTAAATTCTCATTGTAGACTCAGATAAAGAAGTTGTAAAAAGTGACCTTTACAATTTTCTTCGCGATTCCCACAAATTGCAATTTCTACGAAATTGTCTGTATACGTCACCTAGTGAATTAATCCTAACTTTTCAAA